ACAGTCTCAATCCCACGGTGAGACACCTGCTATCTATGCCGAAAAACTATATGAGCAGTGCAAGAAATTTGACCCAGGGTACGAGAAGTTGAAGATCAAGGAACTAGAACGGCAGTTATGAGGAAAAAATACCGGTATCAGTGGGGGTATAGCGTCCCTAGTCATCTCTTTGCCCCCAAAACGTTAGCCCCGCCACCAATAACTAGGTCACTGACCCTAACCACCACAACATTAACCATCCTTAAGTCACCCGCCCACATCTCTTGGCAAAAATGTTAATCGCACGCTCCCAGCATCTGCCCCTCATTCCCGATCAAACACAAAATATTCCCTATGTCACAAGATCATTGACCCTCAAATCCTGTGAATATTTCCCTTCTTAAAAACCTTCCCAAACTCTGCATCACATTTTTCCAGCTCCTGGCTAATCTCCTGCACAATATCATCCACCAACATCCTTAAGTTCCGAAGAGAGGCATAGACTGCCATCTGCAGAATCAAAGAAAAAAAAAAAGTGGAGACTATCATAATTCCGAGAAAATGTCTGCCGGTTGACCCGGAGCCTAATAGAACGGACCCACAATTACGAAAACAAAATACATGCCTTAAAATTCCTTCTGGCTAGGCAGAGTTTTGGAGAAAAGGAGGTAGAGGATCCGCGGAATTTTCCGGATGCTAAAGTGGTCCTCACTGTCATCAGAACGGGCTTGGTGTTCCGGCATATATAGGATATGGTGGAGGAAGCACACCAGAGTATTGATATAACACCAGACATTGCAGTCTGGCATGAATGAAGAGGCTAAAAAGTTGACAATTCTGCACAGGGAGGGTCCTAGTTATTGTTCACCATATAGGGCACTCAAAATAACATTTCCGTGGGATATCAGGGGGTCTCGCTCTTGATGCTCTCATAGAAAATGAAATGGGCCAAGGATCAATGGGCGAGGCCGTCGGTATCAACCTGACAATGTTTAAGGCAGACGGCCAACCCTATTAGATCTGACAATGTCAAACTTTTTAGCTAGTTTGAGTGCCCTGGGGCTGAGGTCAGAGTCTTGGAGGGCGAAACACAATCGCGACTTTCAGCCCCTGGGAATGGGTATATGTGCTGTACAGGAGACTCGTTTCAATTCTGGGAACCTTGATGATATACTGCCTAACAGCGTATTATGATGGTCGCTTTATGGTGGGGGCTCTTCTCGGTTGGACCGATCTCTGAACGCTGTATGTCCACTTGACTTTGACGATCTGGAGATAAGACTGTATTGTGAAGGCTACCATAAAAGATTGGACATTTCGTCTCAAGAGGTTTATGCGCCCAATGACTCCATGAATTGGGCTCCCTTTTTTCGGTGGATCGATGCGTTTCTGACGATATCTCGTCGGATTATTTTAGCGGGTGTCTGAAATGCCGTCCTTTATCCAGATATAGATCGAACGGGGCTTGAGGTCCGAGAAAAGAGCAAGTCGGCATTTCGTCTGTCAGCCTGGAGGAGGCTTTTCTTAAAAGGGAGGGTAGGAGTTTGTGCCTTGCACATCTACTCCATCCCCCTTTACCGGCTATCGGTACTTCCAATCCCGTCCACCAAACTAATTTTATTGGTTCGAATCTTGTTTTACTTGTCGGGTGACAGGTGTCCTGCGGTGCGTCGGCAGGTCTGTTGCCTCCACCAGTCTGAGGGAGGTCTAGGAACACCCAACGTTGAGATTAGTCAACAGACGTTGCGGTTCAAGTTCCTGGATCGAATGTGTCAGCAAAATGAGGGTAATGGCCTCTTCGGGAAGGAAAACATGTCCAACTTTGTGAGGTATGCATGATGAGGTGGTGCCCCGCCGTCCTCCTCGTGCCGAGAGATCCCTCTATCGCGATTGACGATTCACCATGAATGATTTCACACGGGTTAAGGAAAGCCTCACCGACACTCGACTTTTGTCCCTCGTGTGTGAATGTGGCAGGAAGGGCGCTCGAGATACTCTAAAGGATGAGCTCAGTTTGACGTAGGAGGAGTTTAGCTCTCGGTGTCCTTGAACCACATATTTCCACTGTAGTGTCGTATGGCCATTGTGCTAACTGATTCAAAATTACATGGTTTTCATACTGGACGTAAAGATCATTGTCCTCGAGGCGTTTTCCGTTTGTAGCTTGGTGTGCCGTAGAACAACATTGCTACAAACGAAATGAACACTGTGTTGTCTGCGAACGAGGAATGAAGATTACGTTGTGTTTGCTTGGCATTATACGAGTCGTGATTTAAACGACGCGAGAGAAGAAGTTTTATGGAGGCGAGAAGTTTTCCTCAACTAATTTCGTTCTTTAAACACCATCTTAAAGTCAATAAGAGCGGACAGGAGGCGACCATCTCCATCAAAATTCGTCGAAAGGTGGTTGAGTGTTTTACGTTTGGTCTGTTCGAGAGGGGCTAACTTAGAGTGGCATCTGGAGGTGACATAAGGATATTGGTGGTCTAGTTTAAACATTATCATTAGGCTAGTCATTTTTTCTTTTGTTCAAGTCGCTGGACTTAGCTAGGGCATGGATTATCATCGCCACCCCCCCGCTCCACACATTTATACACCCCTTCACACACAATTTTTTTTTCTTTTCTTTGGTTTATTCCCCTTTCACTTCCGTTTTAAGTAACAAGGATTGCAGTTACCCGATTAAACTGTAGGTCGTCTTTCGTTTTCGAGTGTGAGATTTCGTAATTATAGTGTTTAAATGTGTGAGTGCTAGTGTAAGTGATTGTAAAACGGGTGCACGGAAAACATTTTATCAATCCCACAGTATTTTTCGTCCGGTTAACCTATCTCTGTCATCATTAGACTGTGAGAGTACCTGTTAAGAACATAAGTATTTTTTTTGGGGGTGCTGATAAAAAATTAAAACTTATATGGCGATTAGGTAGCATTTCTTAGAATGAATATGGCAATGTGGATGACAGTGTTGTGTGTATGAAATGTTTTCGAGATAGGATGTTCGAACGATTGTTAGTAAATGAGGCTAGCTGAGTTAGCGATAAGACAGGTGAAGACCAGCCCCCCTCCAAATTTTGAGCATTTTTATAAAATAAATATTAAAACATACAATCATGCTTTCTGTTGACAACAGTATGCGCTCGGCAACACACCAAAGACTTGTATTTTTCAACAAATTAGACCCTAATAGAAAGAATCTTTTGAAAAAGCAAAAAAAAAAAAAAAATCGAAAAGAAGTTTATTAAACGAAAATATTCCGTAGTCTTCAATGACATGCTTCAATAATGGCTATATATATATATATATATATATATATATATATATATATATATATATATATATATACACACTTGATTCTTATTGGAAAGCGCTCATTATCAATGATAGAGCTAACATTTAGTTGGATTGACTAACGATCGCAAATAGCGTGAAACCCAGGGTCACAAACGCACATCAATCCATCTTTTATATATATATATGCACAGAGATCAACTCATTTATAAACGAGATAGTTTGAACTAGAAGTACTCATGCTCCCAGATATTTGATAAAAAATATAGTTTCAAGTTAA